CACACACACACACAAACACACTCACACACACACAAACACACACTCACACACAAACTCGTACACTTACACAGACCCTCTGACACACACACACTCTCTCCCTCTCACACACACACCCACCCATACACACACACTCACACGCACACACACAAACTCCCTCTCTCAGACACACACATGAATTATTTCATCCAAGATGTTTGTGTAGTTGCAGATACATTCTGTTTTGCTCAAGAAAAGACCTGACCCCAGTTTAAAACATACACAGATTATAAACAAGACCTCACACCTAAAATGCATTGTCTGACCTGAGATATCACCTCTTGTGTACATTGATAAAACCTTTAATTATCTCAGGACAATGACTTGAAAGGAATCTGGAGTTTGCATTTTAATTAGTAGTCTCCTTCCGAACTAATTAATGATTCAGCAAGAGGTGACCAGTTTTAGGGTTGTTACTGCTCTGCTTATAAATTCTGTGTCTTATACCTTCTCTCTCAGACTATGCCTGAGGAAGGAGCTGAGCTCCAAAAGTTTGTGTTTTCAAATAAAGCTGCTGGACTATAACCTGGTGTCATGTGATTTTTGACTTATGTTTTTAGTTGTAAAAAGTTGTAAAAAACACCAAGTTGTGCCTAACACCAAGCACAAATGGTTGTCACTGTGTTATTTGTCACCTTTGAAAACAGACAGAAGGGTGAAGCAGTCATCATAAATGCACAGCATGCTATTGCCCATAACATACATTTTTGTGTCAATGGAGACTAATAGGTGCTATGGCTTTGTTAAGAATGTAAACTGCTAGAGTTAAGTGTTAATCAAAGCAACATTTGTGGCAGCCCTCATTATGGATCTTGCTTTCTGCTCTTTCACTCTGTCTTCTGAAGAGATTGTGACGATGCTGTAGCTTTGAGAGGTTATTTTGTCCTTTTTTTTCTTGACGAGAGGTTTTAAGGCAGGGGTGATGATCAGTTTACCAAAACCACTAGAGTAAACAGCTTGTGGAGCCTTGAGTTTGTTTTTAATGTTGGAACAACTGAAACAGCCTGACTGCGATGATGGTTGTGGGTTGGAGGGAGAGGTGGTGGTGGTCAAGTCCTTATAGAAGCCATATTGTTAATTTTCTCACCAGCAGATGTTGCTGGGGTCTCAGCAGGATTAGAAGGGAGTCAATCTCTCCCAGCGGCTACACTGTCTAAGTTTACTCCTACGTTTTTCCTCCTGGGCTGCTGGAGTTGCATATGAGACAATTCTGTTTCCTGATTTTGCTTTTTGCCATTGAGTATTTTTATGGGAGGTTACTATATTGGAACAGTAACTGTTTAGTAGTAAAATAATCTATTATTCTCTTAAGTTTTCCAATTGAGTTAAGTTATTCCAAGGTCCTCTTTCTTTTGTTGTGTTAGAATAAATTGTGTTTTGTTTAACATCGAGTAGTTTGACCAATCGAATTGCATCTGGAACACATCACCTCACATTTACGTTTAAAATAAGAAAAATTTAGGGTCTAGGCTACCTTCTTTATATATTTTGAGGGTGTCTGGTCTGGTCCATAACAAGATGTAATGGTTAAAAGCCCAAGGTATTGAGAATTATCCTTTGGTACATATTGAAAGTTTCAAAGCAACTGGAACCAACTATTATCATTTTTTTCTGTGACCTGTTGGGCTCCAGAAATCAACGACAAAGAAGCATGGGAGGAGCTCATGGAGAAAGGCATCTGGCTGTTTGTTTAACCCAGATTAACTGTGGCAAATATGCTGTGTTGTAGAGCATTATGGTGATTAATAGGTCACTCAACTTTTTGCAGAGCTCATCTTAGCTAAATGGAGCAAGTTGTGAGATCTGGAGCTTTGTGCATGGAGTCAATTCTCCTTTAATGGTGCTCTATGAACTGATCTGATCTGCATGAAGTTGCGTGAACAATATGCCTAACACCAAGTTGAAAGCACCAAATGGTCCCCCTCCCTGTTTCACTAACATGGGTATTTTTGATCCAACATCTTATCCTCACATTTCATGTCAGTTAGATTAATGAATGACAGGTCAGTGCACAACCAAGTTTGTGATGCAGCCTCACACTCTTCTATCAGGAGGAAATTGGCTAAAGTGATTCGATTTAAACATTTTGAAGTGCGTCACACTTTGTCACATCTTTGTCCAATTTCAATGGAAACATGGGAAGTGAAACAAATCCCCTTCAGACGCCAGGTACACAGATACTTCAGACCCTTGTCTCGTGGTCCGCAAAATATCTTCATGTTATTGTTTAGAAAGAGCTGAATGATCACCGAGGCGAAAACCTGGCACTACAACAGGAATATACAATGTAAACAATTTCTCAATAACACCCAAACCAAAGCTGGATTTTTCTACCTGTCTTGTGCAGTCAGAAATGCTGAAGTAATGAGATATTTCAAGATTACCACAGCACAAATTCTGAAACCTTTAACAAGTTGTTACTGTATTTTATACTCCTTCATATTCTACTTTAGGAAATGGGAATTTGTATCAATTTTAGATTATTGTTAACAGTTATTCTCTTTGCCTGCACATTTGGATTGGATTGGATGATTATATTGTATTGTAATTGTATTGTACCGAATTGCATTTATTGTGGCCTTACAATCCCATAGCTAGTGAAAGAAAGTCTCAGAACATCTTCAGAAAGCAGCCAACAACCACTGAAGCCATTTGATGTATTGTCACTATTGCAATGGAAATGTGATGGTAGACAATATGCGCATAATAAGGTGCCACAAACAAAATAAGGTAAATGTCAAGTTTTTTTTAAGCATTGGCAATTGAGGGATACATATTGGTCCAGATACCATGAGAGTTCTCCTACTGTTTTGTAAATATAGTTATGAGGTTTGTTACATCTAGCCGACACGTGGCAATGTCATTTGGAAGGTAGCGCTGTAAGAGGAACAGCCTTCCACCTGAGCCTCAGCTTGGACTAGAGGTTTATGTTCATGCAGT